GGATATAGTATTGTAAAACATATAAAAAAATTTTTTATCAGTTGTGTAATATTTGGGTGACTCAGTTAACTATTTCCATATTGAAGATAGTCTCACCTAAACATTTATCTTGTGATAAACTTGACAGTATGGTACATGTCCCATATATGTACTCATCTGCATGTTCAGTAACTTTTTTCCAACTAGTACCTGTTGTGCTGCCACCACCGGGTTTATATCTCAAGCTATCTTTTCAGATATTGCCATAACCCAATTTGTATTTCAAGCCACAACCTTCTTAATTAGAATCCCATTATATACTTCTTGCCCTTATGAGATTTATAACAACCCCAGTACTCACATTTCAGCTTCTTTTTTCCTTGAATTTCTTATCGGTCTCTCCCTTACTTCTAGCCGGCAACCCAGAAGAGTTGTCTGCCTAGTCTTTAGGTGCCTCACGATCACCCTTCTTTTAGTTACATGCTTTCAAAGCATATATCCTTTTTCTCCAGTTGGTATCTAGCAGTTCAGCTAGTGTATTCTCTACTTAAGGATCTAATCATTCGGTTCTTCAGTCTTAGTTTTCAGTTTCAAATTTGGCTTTCCTATAGCACTATCAAAAATCACTGCCACTCCACACTCGAGACTTGCCAAACAGGTTTTCAGTAATTCTAGTTTCTTGAATTTATTGCACCGAAGCTTCTATTTGAGATAGTGTGACCAAGATTACAGATATCTGCTAACTGATAATCTTAACATTAACTAATACAGATCTAGTTTTTTTCAAAATCGTCATCTATGTGATTCAAACTCTAGACCTGCTATCTGGGGGTGTGACAACTCCACTATTTTACTAAGTTGCCACACCTTTATATTTATTTATATTATATTTATATTAATTTATATTATATTTATATTTTGCTTATATTTTGTTTATATTTTTAAATTAGTTTAGTATAAATTTATTTTTATATATATAGAGTTATAGATTTAAATTTTCTATCTGTAATTTAAAAATTTACTATTTTAATAGTTAAGACTAATATGAAAAATTTAACTTTTTTTTTTAAAACACTTGCTATCCTAATGAAATTTATCTCTCTTTAGAATCAGGACCTTTTATCTCTAAATAATACTCTAATAATTACTGGAAAACAAGTTATTCTTACTAATAGAATTAATATCTTAACAATTATTTAAATAGAAAAAACTCAGATACAAAATAACCTGTTTAATAAATATGATTATTTTTACTATATACTATTACCTTGAGGGAGTGAAAAAGTAAAGACGAAAGGGTGTAGTGACTTAGTGAAGTGGTGGAGTTGTTGTACCCCAAATGGCAGGTCTAGAGTTCGAATCCCACAGACACAATTTTGAAAAAACTAGATCTGTATCAGTTAACGTTAAGATTATCAGTTGGATCCAGATATCTATAATCTTGGTCACACCATCTTGAATGAGAGCTTTGGCGCAATAAATCCAGGAAACTGGAATTACCGAAAACCCATTTGGCAAGTCCCAAGTTGAGAGTAGCAGTGATCTTTGATGGTGCTATAGGAAGACTGAATTTGGAACTGGAAACTGAGACCGGAGAACCGAGCGGCCAGGTCCTTAAGTAGGAGATATACTAGCCGAACTGCCGGCTCGCCACCAGAGAAAAAGGACTTGTGCTCCGGAAGCATGTACCAAGGGGAGGGAGACCGTAAAGCACCTAGAGCCTGGGCAGACCAATCCTTCTGGGTTGCCGGCTGGAAGTAAGGGAGGGACTGATAAGGAATCCGGGAAAGAAGGAAGTTGAAACATAAGTACTGGGGTTGTTGTAAACCTTGCAAGAGCAGGGTACGTAAGTGGAAACTAATTAGGAAGGTTGTGGCTTGAGATATGAATCAGGTTACGGCAGTATCTGAAATGATAGCTTGAGATATGGACCTGGTAGTGGCAGTACAACATGTACTAGTTGGGGAAAAGTTACCGAACATGCAGGTGAGTATATGTGTAGAACATGTACTATTCTGTTAGGTTTATCACAAGAATAAATGCCCATGTGGCTAAAGTCTTAGGGTCCTTATAAGGAATTGTTAATCTTACTAAGAGTGTTAGGGTAAAAGCATGTTACAGAAATAGAGCCAGAGGACTTAAATGGGTATCCTCCATAGTTAGGTACAGGTATGGCAGCTAGTGTAGAACCTAGGGCAGACTACTTAAATAGGTAACCAAAAGTTGCATATATAGCTAGTCGTACTCTCATTAGTTAAACAATCAGAGAGCTTAAATAGGTAATCTCCTAGTTAGGTTGCAGGTATAGCGGCTAGTGTAGAACCCAGATGGACTACTTAAATTAGATACCAAAAGTACACGTGTAGCTAGTTGTATCCTTGTGAAATTGATATAATATTGTAATTACCTGAATAAAGCTAAGTTCTGGGGACCTAAGTAGTCACCTTAATATTTAAAAAAAAAATAATAATAATAATATAATAGTATAAAAGGCACTATTCAAATTTTTTATAATATATTTTAATGGATATTTCCATTAATATACACCATTTTTATAAGATCAGAAATAGATATTATATTCATATAACTAGCTAGTTTTCATAATACAATGCCTATTATACTTTCTAGTATAATTTTTTGCTTAATCTAGCTTGCTGTTAAAAGAAGTATAAACAAAATATATAGATAATACACTTTGAGATGGGTACTTAATCTTTTTTAAATTAGCTATTAATATAAGTTTCTTTCTTATAAATTCCTGCTTTAAAGCAAATTCATTATTATTACTTTTAAAATAATATAAAATAAGTTTATTTTTAAAAACTACAAGATTTTAATCTTAATCTTATATATTACACTTTATTATTATTATTTTTTATATAAGTTATAATATTATATTAAGAATTGTTGAAGATAATGCTAAAATTGGCTAATACTAAATTTAGAGGCCCTATTTAAATCTATAATATCTACTAAAATTTATATATATATTTTTACTAACAATACTAACTCTAAACTCTAATCTAACTTTAAAAAAAACCTCTAACAAAAAAATCTGAAAATTTTTTAAAATTTTATATTAAAATAGCTTAAAATTTTAGTATTATCTGATTTTAGCATCATTACTAACAAGAATTAAAACTTATATTTAAAAACTTATTAAAGATATATAAATAATTTTTTATTTAAATTTATATATTTTTAACTTATAAGCAATATATATATAGTATAATTTGGCAAAACTAATACTGTTAAAATTAATAACCTGTCAAAACTAATAAAAAATTAATCAACTATCTATTAATTAAATATAGTAATTTTACTCTTTAAACCTGATAATCTGTCAAAATTGATACAAATTTAATCTACTATACATATTGGCTTTAACAAATTATACTATATAATATAAAATTAAAATATAATTTTTTATAGAAATTGCTAATTTATATCACAAGTAATAATCACTTATAGCTAATTTGCCAATTAAAATTTAAAATCAAGTATAATATATAAATCAATTTTGTATATATATGCTATAAAAATAGGTTTTTAAAAATAGCCTATTTCATTTTTACTAAAGCAAATTTAATTTATATAATTTTATTTCTTATAATTTTGTTTATTCAAAAAAAATTTTATCTTTTAAATAAAGATAAGTTAAACTAATTTTATCTTTAAATTTTAATTTTAGGTTTTAAAGCCCAAAATAATTTTATTCTTATCTATAATTTTATATAACAAAAACAAAGAATTTTTTTAAAAAAATTTTATATCTCAAAATTTTGTTTATAAAACTACCTTTTGAGCTCTAATAAAAAAAATTTCTTGCTAAATTTTACTATATAAAATACTCTAACTTTAACCTTAATTAACTCTAAGAAAGCTAACAAAAAAGAGCTAATATATACCCCACTTCCTCTTAACACTCCTTCTATTTCTTCTTTATACTCCTTTTACTCTATATCTCTTCTTTATTTACCTTTTGCCTTTTTTACCTTTTCTTTTAAGAAGGGATAAAAGAGACAAATAGGTGAGTAAAGAGGGAATATAGGGGAGTAAAAGGAGTATAAAAGGGGGTAGAGATGTTAAGAGGAGAGAAGGTGATAGGGTATATATTAGCTTTTTTTTGTCAGCTTTCTCTAACCTTACTCTTATCTTATCTTAAAGAGGCTAATTTTTTGTTTTAATAAAAATTATTTATTTTTGTTTATGTATTGTAAATCATAGATAATAATTACCTGAAATGATTTTTAGTTATTTTCTTTTTTATATTAGCAAAACTAAATTTAAAATTTTAATTATTATACAATTATTAAATTTAAAAATCTTAAATTTTTGCTAAACTTTTTAAATATTAATTTTAAATTTATAATTCTAATACTTATTATAGACTATATAAAAAATAATATTTTTTTAAATAGTTTACTAGCAAAAATTAAACCTTTGAATTAAAAATAAAATTTAAAAATATAAATTTTTAAAAAAAAACTTAAAAAAATTTTAAAATAAAATTTTTAAAGCAAAAACTTTAATTTTTTATTACTCTAAAAATTTATATTATAAAATAGATTTTAAATAAAGTATTGTAAATATAAAATATATCTATACTATTGGTATTTTTAATTTTATTCAAAATTCTAAGCAAATTTCTAAAAACAATTTAAAAAAATAAGCACAAACTACAATATAATAATTAGTTTACTATAGTTTATAACTAAAATTTTAATAAACAAAAACAAAATATTCTTATAGACAGTACTTACACATCAATAAAATTTTTTAAAAATACGATAAATTTATAACTACATCTTTCAAAAAAAAAAAAAAACCAATACAATATTACGAGCGGTTAAATAATAAAATTGAAAAATTGGTCATAAGCTACTATATATTTCGAATTTTTTTTTTTAAAGAAATAACTTTATCATAAATATAAATGTTAACTACATTTTATAAAGACTATAAATAATGTGAATGATAGTTTAAACATTCAGCATATCATAGGTGTTTTTTTTTTTATATTATACAACAGATTTTCTTAACCATTGACTTGCTTTGTCAATTCCAGCTTCGCTTACCATGAATTTCTTATTCCACAAAGAAAAAAATTTTAAAGATTTCATCGAATGTTTAACCAAAATTCTCAGATGTTCATCATTAATGAAATCACAAATACTTATGACGAAATTTTTCAAAGGAACACCATCCTTGAACACCTCATGTTGTTCTTCGACCAATAAACTACAATTTTCCAAAAATTGCCTTAAACTATCAGGCATAAATCTCCATCTTGCTGATATATTTAATTCTATTAGAGTTCTAGGCATGATCTTTCCAAGTTCTGGTAATATACCACTTACATCAAAAGATCTACCATTTCCATAAATATGTAAATATTTTAATCTTCTACAACTTTTTAAAATTCCAAATAATTCACCTATTTCATTTGGACCGATCATAGCACCAAGTCTCACAAGATTTGGACAATTCAACGAAATAGAATTTAATATATGAGCATAACCATCTTGTTTACAATCTTCAGGCCATCCAAAAATAATTTCTTCCAAATTCCATTTACTAGCTAAAATTAAAGATTCCAAAGTATCAACTGGTACAGGATCTTCTTTAAAAGTTATAGAACGAAGTTTGGTAAGTGGAGCTAATATAAGAGGGGCCAAAACTTTGGGACTCAAACTTTCAGAATCACAGAATTCCAAAATTTCAAGATTAAAACATTTTGGTAACCAATCCAGAGGACACCATTTATCAAACACTATATCACAAAATTGTATATAACGTAAAGTGTTTTGTTGACGTATGAGTGCCGTACCTAATGCTTGAGGGTAATGACAGTCACGAAGGATGAAATGTTCTAATTCTGTTTGTGATTCTATGAAACGAGCGGTAAGTTCAGCACTAGAATCATAATGTTCATCATCATCGTTATAACCGAAATCTGGTAATCTAACTTCCATCTATTCAAAACATTGAATCATGAAAAAAAAAAACGAAAGAAATATTTTATGTGTAACATAGTATAAAGAGATTTTTAAAGATCAACATAAATTATGAATTCTTACCTTTATAAGATGTTTACAAATCTGCATCAAAATGGGAAAATCTTTATCGCTAGCAAAATCGCCAGCAAATTCGAATTCTTTAATTTGACTTAACCATTGTCGAACTATTGGTTCACGTAAAATTAAAATCTTATGTTGTAATTTATCATAATAACTTAATCCATGATTAATGTCAATATCCATATCCATAACGAAAGAGAATGATTTAAGACCCGAGGAGTGTTTGGCAAATAAACGAAATAAAGCTAATATGATTTTTTGCATAATGGGACTACCATCACCTACATAAAGATTATTAATCACACACCATTCTTGAACAGAAACGACCATTGATAAATAAGCAAAATGTCTTAAGAATGAAGGATAATTAAAAGTAGGAATAAAATTTTTTGAAGAGATAGAATTTCGTTGAGGAATTAAATTCAAATCAAGATTATATATTTCTTCAAGGTCTAAACATGATAAATAAGTTGAAATTAGATGGTGAGAAGAATTAAATTTTTTGTTTAGTAAAAGGTGGAAAGGTTTATTCCATAATAGTTGAACAGCATTTGCACTCCAAATACGATTGACTAAAACACAAGAATGTAAATCATAAGAGTCATCCTCAAAATGATGAAAAATTTCTTGTAGGACTTCAGATGGAGGAGACTGTGACATCGTTAACATTATATATGTGAAAAATAAACTAATAAATAAATATAGAGAGAAGAAATTTATGAATTGGAGGCTTGAACAAAATTGGTTAAACCGAAGAGATTTTAGCGAGAAGTTAAAGTTTAGAAAACGATCCACGAATGATAATCAGAGATAGACATGTGCCGCAATACTACGTTCAGTCGCGATCACAAGTCCATGTGGACGTACATCTTGTGAGGATTATACGTCGAAATCCTCGAAGTGATCTCTTGTACGAACATTGCATGTATTATAAGGTGCATCACAATAAACCCCTTTACCTAACAAATCAAGCGTCGATGTATACTAATATAGTTCGGTGATACTGTTAAGACAAATTTAGTTTGATGTAAATGTGTCATTATGTATGCGAAAAAAAACACGGGACGAGTTCCCAGAATACATTTGCAGCTAGAGCTTGAATCAGATTTGGAAAGTTCAGCCCTCGAGAACTTTATCCTTCAAGAAACAATCGTTAAAAGATGCACAGATTACTGGTTAATTCGGATACTATCGGCGGTACGCAAATAATGAAAAAAAAATTTTCTCGCTTTATTTAATCGAAGAAAAATGTCAATAACGTATCTTATTTTATATAAGGTTTCAGCCAAAGGTTTTTTTTTCTCATGAATGTGAGGAAGATCAATAAAGGCTTGTCAGTGTCAAGACTCGGTTGGGGCCTGCATAGATCACAAATGGCAATCACTCAATTATTTGTTTTATTTTTTTTTAGAAAAGATTATATCCATTATGACAAATTAGAATTCATACGTGGGAAGAAATATAATATACATTTATTGCATTAGTATACTTTTCTTTACGGAACACTCGCTTGTGAATAATGACTAATTTAATATCATTGATGGTAGTCCGTTCACGTGAAAAGTTGATAAAGTTGATGTTAGTTAAAGTTAAAAAAACAGTACAGTATGATGCCGAGAGTATTTAATTGACTATCATTCTTCAGCGAATATGCATAACACGCATGCGTACGCAGATCAGATTAAAAAATCGTGGACATTTTCAAAACAGGATTTGAAATACTATTCTTTCTAATACTATTATCTTTCAAGATAAACATTTTACAATAGATGATTAGTGGCTAATAAAGGAAATCATTCATGCTTTAATCATGTCTTTATTTCAAACTTCTGTCAAAATTGTCGATCACTTGAAAACTTTCATACATACGTACGTATTCGGTACATGCGCAGCTTAAACCGAGCACATCTTAATACGCCATTGTCTTGGTATGCGTGCTACGTTACGCTTATTGTTCGATGCAATCACATTATTGGATTACAATATTAACAAGTCACAATGTTAATCACAGATCCACGACGCGTTAAAACCTTTCGTATGTGAAAATTCTTTTGTTTCAGATGATCTTTACCTAGATTGCAACATCAATCATACTACTTATTTGAGTGTGTATAATAAGCAAAAGTTGGGATTGTAAAATTATGTCATGTTAGTGTTACAGTTTCAACTCGTAATCACAAACAAGATGACGGCATAATCTTAGCGATTATTTTTATTATTTTACCATTCGCATTCTATACTGTATTAATATCTGATATCTGTATCTGATATCACTTGTTAATCCATCTTCATCTGCAGTGTTATGTCACATTGATTGAATTAAATCTCAACATGAAAAAAATTTTTCATATTAGAATTAAAAGAATTAAAAAATGCATTTTACTATAATTAGTGCTTTTTATTTGCTATATGCATTAAAGTCGTTCAGTACTGTACGTATAAATTTTGTGGTTGTGCATTTTAACTGATTCTGATTGGTTGCGGCGATTTAGTAATTTTTATGCGAGAGCGCGGTTTATTCTAATCGATCTTACTTTGTATTTTAGGGATGCGTTAAAGCTTTAATGCTGTAATGTTAAGTATTTATATTTTTCACCTGATTTTTAACTTATCTATATATCGATTAATAATCAATTCATAAAACTATAACACCACCTATTTTAATAAACCGTTACGCGGAGAGTCGATCATCGAACGGTCGTACGTACGTACGTACATACGTACGTAATTTAACAATAATTATATCACATGTTCTAATTATTAATTATGCCTGAGAGACTTAGCATTCAATCCGTGTGGCAGATCATAATGAAATCGGATTAAAATGAAATGAGGGTTTCTATTTAACCCTCTAAAACCCACTTATACTTGTTTATTATAAACTTTATCCTAAATCTAACCTCTAACCCTAACCCCTAACCCTAATAAATGCACCTCAAAAATTTTTATTTTTCGGTGGCTTGTCTATTTTTTACATTGTATAATATTTCATTTTAATCCGCACATATATTATGGTCGCTTTTTCAGCCAGCCGTGACATTGTTCGCTAGCATCAGCTAACTAAAATTTTTATATTTATACGTATATAATATTAATTAATCATTCAACAAGTACAGATAACTCAGTCATGGCGTAAATACATTTTTTTATATGCGATAATTAGGGCTTGCATCAATTATTTTTTAAAAAAAAAAACTTTTGTACATTTACAATTGTATGCGATCTTATGCAGATGGAACCAATGACAATGTAAATAACATTAAATTATCATTAGACTTAATATACTACGTTAGAGTATAATGAATTCAACCAAAATCTGTCCAATAGCTAACTTTTAACGGTGAAACGAATGCAGTCATCCTGTGAACCACGTTGAGCAATAGGCATGATAACTGGCTGATGAGTGTATGTAGAGACTATCGTACACACACGGTATCTACCACTTGGTAAGCCAGGTTCTACATCCGAGCCAACTTCTGTCTCCAATATACCTCGATCGTCAGCTGGATCATTTAATCCTCTAAAAAAAGCAAATATATTAGGATTCGGAACAACCTCTTCGTCTTCATCATCAGCTAATTTTTGTATAACAACATGACTATGTCCTTTGACAATCCCTTCTTCGTTAAGTTCTTGTGGCTGGGTATAGTATTCTGTTTCAGGATCAGCGAAATATCCTGTTTGTAAGTTGATTATTTTAATTGATAGAGTAAAATTCTGATTTGCTGGAACAATAGATCCATCTTTAGGTTTAATAATAAGAGTGGAGACCATAAATTCGTTTGTTGGAATTTGTCCTTGGATCACGCTGGAGCACCATCCATTAGGGTTACCACCGGTTTTAATTTGAGTACCATTAGCAACCACTTGTGACTTTAAACAGATCCCCGAAGGTGGTGGAGCAGAGGAGATAGATTTGTTAAAAGGTATGGTCTCGTTGGAAGAGAAAGTTTTGTTAAAAGGTATGGTCTCGTTGGAAGAGATAGTTTTGTTAAAAGGTATGGTCTCGTTGGAAGAGATAGATTTGTTAAAAGGTATGGTCTCGTTGGAAGACACAGATTCCGTAGGGCAAAAAATGGTTAGAGTAGCAATGAAAGTAATGATGATAAGATTAAAAATAAGTTTCATATTTTTTTTATCTATTGAAATAGGGATCAATATATTCAAGAGATAAATTAGGCACTATTTTATTATTATAACTATTAATTATGTATTGTAAAGTATTGAAAGAAGGGGTTGTGATTCTGAACGGATCGAAGGTAATTTTGTAGAAAATACTGAAATATAAATACGAAAGAAGTAAGTGAAACTTTTTTTATGAATAATATATATATATAATAAATTTATTTTTTAGAATCCGATTTTTAATTAAATTCTTAAGACCTATCCCTAGGCTTGGCTAGAGTATTCAGATTCTGAGGTGTTCACGCTAAAAATATTTTTGTGCATTTGTTCCTGTAAGAAAAATGTGACTTTGATCACTTTTTAGAATCAAAAATTATTTTTAGCGCGCGCAGATTTATCGGCTCAGAATTTTGATACCCTATACCAGGGCAAAAAATACATATTTATTTCCCGGCCGTTTGAAAATATCGTTCTTGATTCAAATTATTTCTATTATTTTAATGTATCAAAAAAGACACTTAATGGCCTGCATGGCCGGGAAATGAATAGGAATTTTTTTTACCCTGCCCTATACTCGGAGAATATATCAGCCTATTTAAAATGACTGAGCCAAACGTCCTTTGTTTTAAAATGTCTTTTTGATACATCAACCCAAATTTTAATAAAGTGAGTCAAGAACAATACTTTTTGAATGCACGGAATTTTTAATGTCCAAGCCCTACTAGAAGTTCAAGCGGCTGACTTTCAGACATTTCTAATAATCCCTTTTAGTTAATAATAGTTTTTTTTTTCCTTAATTGATTATATTGACTCCTCCCATTCCGGAAAATTTTAAATTCAGCGCATTAACAAAAACGGGCATGCATAAATTTTGTTTGTTGCTCAAGCTGCATTCCTTATTTCTTAATAAATTAATTCAAATTTCACGCGGACGAAGGTGCTGGCCAAAGTCTAAAAATAAAACTGTGCCACATCCAAATTGTTTAAAGTATTATGATATCAATATCAAATAATAGAAGTCATCTTTTATATATTCAATAATAAGATTATTGTTATATTACTCTTGATATTGTGCATCTGCAGTAAGTAATGCCTTTCTTGAATTAATTTATAATATTAACGAATAGCATGATAGCCCCTGAACTTTTTTTTTTTTTTTACAAAAATGACTCTTTACACGATTGGATGACTTTTCGATGTACCTATCTGCCTTATGAGAAATGCACATCCTGTCAAATTCAGACAGAGTCGGATGTTCGATAAGTAAATTCTTTTGTGTCGTTTTAGAATGCTTCGATATATTCCGTCATACTCGTTAATTAATCTTACTATTTAAACTCTTTCGAAAAGAGTAGTTCTTTTGTGTAACTTACGTCCCCCATCTTATAAGACTAAGATACATTTATGGTATAGTCATACATGCATGACTTAACATTTAATGAACAAGCTTATATGAAGAACAAAAGCCACCAGAGATTCTGGAAATTTATTGATCCCCATTGGAAACAATTATTGGCGTTAGAAAGAGTTCAATAAGCTCACGAGTATACTGCATTTGTGGCTGAATTCCTGGACTTATGAATTATCTAGTATATAATACAGAACGGGGTAGATAAACACTAGGAGATAAATACTATACATAAGATAAACATTATAAGATAAATACTATAAGACAAACAATATAAGACAAAACTATAATCTAATTTGGCTGATTATATACAGTATAACAATATACTGTATATATATAGAAAACTATTAGTAATAATTTAATTTTAAACTATGTTATATAATTACAAATTTATATTATTAAAAATAAAAATTTATATTATATTATATATTAAACTATTAAATAATTATTTATTATAAATTATATATTTAAAAATATCTAAAATTATTATTTTTTAAATCTAAAAAAAATAAAATATTTATATAAAATATATATTATTAATAAGTTACTATAAACTGTTAACTGTCATATATATTAGAATCTTTAGAATTATAGAAATAAATTTGAGAAAATTTTGAAGAATCTCCTTCTTTTGGCATTAATGAGCTAATTTCATAATAATGCTTACCCTGAATTCTATAATTATAAACCCCTTTTTATCATTGGCAAATTCCTTATCTTAAATTATACCAATTAATAAAAAAGCTAATATTTGATTCTACTGTATGCTCTTATACTGTTGGCAAAAAATACTTTAGATTAGTAACTTGAATTGGTTGAGCTATAATCGGTTAACCGATCTGAACTGAATAAATTCAGGTAACCAGTTGAGGAAATTCTTAATCGGTTGACCTGATAGGTGGTATGAGAAAATATCAAAATGACATAGGGAGAGTAAAGGATCCGAAAAGTTCTAACAAGAAAATAAATGATTATAAAAGACAAGCAAGGTTAAGACAAAAATTAGAGTAAAGCTCCAAAGGTAGTATAGATATTAATCTTAACCAGTTGGTAATTGGTTGAATAGAATAATTCAGTTCGGTTAACCGATTAAAAAAATTTTTCTTGGTTCAAATCACTACTTTAGATATAGGATATTTTTCTGTAAGCAATTTTTTAATTGCTAGTGGTAGTTTTAGAAATAGAGCTAAAATAATTTTACTATTCATATAGAAAAGTTCTGGTTTTTTTTCTACCTATTTTAAAGCTCTACAATATTTACAAATAATATCTATTCTCCCTAATATATGTCTCATATTATCCTTTTTATCTTTCTTCTTATCATTATTATTATTATTATTATTATCATTATTTCTACTATCATCTCTACTATAATCATCACTATTATTTTCATTATTATTATCATTATCATTATTATCATCATCCTCTTGCTTATCCTTCTCCTCCTTCTTCTTATAATTATCTAAACTACAATGTCTTATTTTATAAAATTGTTCTAATTGTTCTTGTTTACTTATAGAAGCTTTATATTTTTGTTGTTTTAATTTAGCAGCTTTTTTTGTTCTTGTTCTTGCTAATACTTTTTTTGTTTTGAATCTAGTTCTTGTTGAAGGACCTTGTTCTTTAGCTACTTCTTTTAATTTTTTATAATGTCTTTTTTTGTCAATTCTTTTATTTTGTTTTCTTCTTAGTTTTTTTAGCTTCAGTACTTTAAAGAGGAGTTTTATATTTTTTTTTAATATAATCAGATATAGGTTGTCTTTCTTTTGATATTTTTATCTTATAAAAAAAATTAAAATATTATTATTAATTATTTGCAAATAAAGCAAATAAAATAATATATTTTTAAATAAATATTATAAATTTTTACTTTTAAATATAAATTTTTTACTTTCTTTTTTTTTTTTTTTTTATTAGATGATCCTGCTTTTCTACTTTATTAGAATTATAATAACTATTGCTGCTTATTATAGTTAGGCACATTACCAAAAATAAAAATTAATTCTAGATCATTCCATTTAATTTTGATTGGCTTACAGCTATATTTTTTGATTACATTTTGTAGCTTTTTGCTATATATATTTGTGAAAAAAAATTTTATTGACGAAAAGCAAAATATTCATAGTTTTGTGATCTTTTTAGAATTAACTCTTTGAGCAAAAGTATATAATACTTAAAAAAAGAAGTTGTTTTGCTATTCAAAATTTACAATTTGATTAGCTTATTAATATATAACTCAGCTTCTGAAATATAACTTAGCTTTTGATTTGTATAATCGAATGAAAAAGAATCGTCTAATCTGCATTTTTATACTATAAAAGGGGTGAACTGCATTGCCATTTTTGGTAATATGCCTGACTGTATTACAACAGTATATAAATTATCTAAAAGTGTAAGAAAGACTTACTTGATACTAAAATACTTAAGTGTGATCTGCTATATAACTATCTATTTTTGTTAGGGTCTTAAACTAAACTTGAAACTTATTTTTCAATATTACTGATCGGTTGTTAATACTGTATCAGGATCATACTTCTTTTTTTAAAATTTTTTCTTCTTCATAAAAGGCAAAATAAAAAAAGAGAAAAGTATAATATACTACCAAGAAAACAAAAAACAAATATAAAGGAAAAAACTAATACAAAAAAAAAAAAACAGAAGAAAAGAAGACAGATACTGACAAAAGAAAAAAGAAAAATAACAAAAAAAAAAGTATCAAAACTGCCAGAAAAATATTTAAAAATTATATAATACTCTTCAGTTTAGCTCTACTTTAAACTAAGTCTATATTATATATAAAGTTATATTCGAGGTAGAGTTGGCTCTATAAAAATTTTCTAGAATAATCTTCAATCGATCAATACCAGTTCTTGTTCTACACATAAGCAGCCATGTGATTTTTCATAATTTCTGTTCCTAATTTGAAATTAGTAAACAATACAGATCTTTTAGAGAGGGTATATCAATTTTTCTACTTTTTGCTTAGTGAAAATATTCTCTAAAAAACTCCAAGAGAAGTGAGAATATAATAGGTATTTTAGAGTTATGTCTTTTAAATTTTTAATAGAGTGTATTAAAAAACTTATTTGCTATTCTTCTTGTAAGCTATATATACTGTAGCTAACTTTGTCAATAAAAGACTTTTTTCTTCAAATTTTGTATACAAAGACTCTCTCTTCTGCTAGTTATTTTGTATATTAACACTTTTGATTTGCATGCCGAATATATAAGAGAGTCTTCAAAACAAGCAAAACTTGGTTGACCTTTATAAAAACTATTACTATGTATATACTTCTTTATTTAACTCTAGCAAAATTCTTGTTTTTCGTTTGTAAAAAATTTGATACAAGTAATCATCAGAAAAAGTTGTGTTTACTTTCTTTTTAAATTTTATATATTTTAATAAAATTGTAAATTTAAAATATTTTAATTAAAAGGGTGTGGCGACCTAGTGAAGTGGTGGGGTTGCTGCACCCCCAAGCGGCAGGTCTAGAGTTCGAATCCCACGGACGACGATTTT